TTATAATCGTGAATATGAAAACCTAGTACAATTAAACAATGCATGAAATTTATCTTCAATATCACCAGAATCACAATCCTTACATATAGCAGTTAACTGGTCAACACAGTGGAACTGACAGCTATGATTCACAATTAAGCTAGGAACAGAATTTTTTAATTTGCCAGACTCCCCAATTATCTCTTTATCATTTAAATTTGTGATGTACATTTCTGTTCTAAATGATACTTTACACCAGGAATAATGTGTTAAAAGGTTAGATGTACATTCTGATGGTGTCTGTTTTAGATATGAATATCATTTACTCTTTGTTCATCTGTACCTAAAAAGGCTTTCAGGACCAAAATATTTTGGTCAAGCCATACATGAGCAAATCCACATTTAAGCTTCTTGTACATCTGAAACCCAGTTATGTACTAACATTATCATCAAACCATTTTTATGATTTATAACATTGATGGGGGATCATGAAATTCCACTTTCAATAATCAAAGGCTTTTTAAAGTCCCTGAATGAATAGTTGAAACTACCTCCTTGTTTACATAACCCATCGCAGCTTGTGTTTCACTCAGTTCATTTAAGTCAAGCCATATTCATAATCAGGATTATTCCAGCTGTATGATGACGAACTGTAAATTGTCAAGTCTGGACCAGACAATCCAGTAATTGAAATCATCAAAACCTCAGTAAATTGAGCATCAATCTATGCAAATTGGGACCTGCTGACATGTGTCTGCCTTCTTAGTGAGCCTGAACACCTGATCCCATTAGTCACCGCTTCTGACAAGAATGGGTCACTGAAGATCAATTCTAACAGTTAGTAACACAGATTTTCACACTGACTGACTGACTGAGTTTAGTTTTACGCCGCTTTTAGCAATATTCCAGCAATATCACGGTGGGGGGCACCAGAAATGGGCTTAACACATTGTGCCCATGTGGGGAATCGAACCCGGGTCTTCGGCGTGACGAGTCAACGCTTTAACCACTAGGCTACCCCACAGCCCCCAGATTTTCACAAGTCCATAGGGCCGGTAATGTAGCCATGCCCAACATTTAAAATATACAAAATAAGTGAAGATAAGGTACAAGAGCATCTTCTATGAACATGTGAAATTCTAAGGAAATACAGTGATCTCCAGCAGTTAATTGCTTGAACACTTCAATAATTTTATTTGTTACAGTTCTGTTTGTTACAGCATATATTAAAATGTTTAGATCATCATCTGTTAAAATATTCTCAATGCAGTCAATGTGGTCAACACAGGAAGGTGAACAACCAAATTATGTTACATACTCATGAACGTGGAACAAATGGATTGCAAATATCTAATATACATATTTCATATTTTCAATGCACTTGTCATTATCATGCACAGGCATGAAATTCATTAGGTATTTGTTTATTGATGCTTTACATGTAAAACCACAGGAAAACAAAAGACTATCTCTGATAACAATGATCAACCTATGAATCAGTTGGGTTTGGAATGACAATAAATGATAGAAATTGTAAAAGGGGTCTACATGCATTTTCAAACCTGGGGCCAAAAGTCATGAAGCATGCAGTATATTTGTATAGTATATTTGAACTCAGTTTAACAATGTGGATGTAGCCTTGCAGGTTGCCTTGTTTGGGTCACAATCACAATCTAAAGGTGCTCATGATTATTCATCTAATTTGTTCATCTGGCTCTGAGGATAATACCAAATTTTAGAGACCAAAATGTTAAAATATTGAGTAGTAGTGCATTTTACCAGGCACATTTTTTTTTAGATTTGAATTAATCAGAGTTAATCCAATTAACCAACACCCACCACATGATCACAGACTTGATCAAAATATAAAGTTTCCTCAAATTTCATTGGATACACTATTTAAATTCAACTGATCATATATCATCGGCAGAATTAAAATTATAAACTATTTTTCGCAATGTTGAAAAACAACGATTCTTGTTTATGCTTCCGGCAGCTGGTCTACAATAGCATTGTCAAAGAGCAAAGTAACGATGTTTCAAACATCGAGGAAATCATTAAATAAATTGAAAACAACAATAACATTTATAAAAGTTGTCCAACGTTACATATAAAATTACTATTTCCATACTTTTGTGCGATCATGCAATGTAAGTCAAGTCACTGACAAGTTACATCTCGCTTTCACCGCCTCCGTCTTGACGCTCGCACACGATGCTTAATGTGAAAATATATGCATGAAGCATTTTGTCATAGGCCATAACCTAGCACGATATGTCCAATACGCTCCATAATTTACGATAGGTAGCGATGTCTTTCTTAATATGTTCAGAATAGCATTATTTTACCCAAAAACTTTCGTCTTAATCTAAAAGTTTTAGTTTACAAAGAAGGTATCCATTTCCATAATATGATTGGCTGCTAAGGTCACGTGTCTGATTTTGACCAATCATGACCCTTATAAGCAGAGTGTAGTGAAAAGCGTCCGTTAGAAACCAATCTTTATCCAATAAAATTGCTTCTTACAAATGTGAAAATACTCTCGGCAAGAGTACAGTGATATTGTTGATGTTCAGAGCTTTCAAACGATACCGCCATCAAACGATTAAGCCTCTATGTAAGTGACACGTGCCACTCACTAATTAACAAGAAACTGATTGACACTTCTCTCGTTTCTGAATAATCTCGGAAGTCAATACCCAGCTAATCAACAAAATGTAAACACTTGCTTGTTTATACAGTCAAACTGCCCACTACATGTATTAATTACTCTGGGTAAGTGTTACGTACCACTCACTGATTAACAAGATACTGATTAACACTTCCCGCTTCTGAATAATCTCGGGGAGTCACAGCGAATTGTGTTGTTACATCATTTGGACCTAATTGCATCAAAGGGTTACGCCGTCTTTCATGTGCCGGTTTTTACAGATTCGTTTTCATAACAACTTGTTCGTTGGGACTGAAAAACAATGCCGATATCCTGAATAGACAGATGCCGATGTTTACAGAAGTTTCTAAATGATAATAACGTGCATTTCTGCCGGGACCGAAACTTTGTGCCGATGTAGACAGAGTGCCGGTGTTAAGAGAGGCCGGTATTGGCAGAGTCCACTGTACTTGGTAAATGAGGTAGCTAAGCCATACCCTACCTCACAACTAATCCTAAAAATCATGAAGGGGAGTTTGTAGTGTCCAACTCTAATGATTGTGAAAGCTTGTCTCATTGTAAAAGGGTACCTACCTGTAATCATGCTAATCATAAGAGGGTGCTTAATCTGAAAGGGGATCCATGGGAAGTGGGATAAGGACTGAGTTCAAGACTCCCAGACAGCCAATCAATTTTCTCAGCAGAATCAATGGGCATGGTAACCTCACTCCATGACCCATTCATCATTCAACACAATGAGATTTTAATTCTAACAGACTCACTCAGTGGGCTCCAAGCAAAACAAAACCAAAAACACCAGAAACCAACATAAACTAATAAATGAGATGCCACAAATTGCTCAGGATCTATACGCCTTAATCAAAAAGGTAGAGTTCATATGGATATCTTACAGACATCAATGATTTCAAATCTGCCTTAAGTCCCAGAGCTAAAGACATTCATTTTGATCCAAATATAGGTTCAAGAGTTTGTCAAGTCCTCCACTGTCACTTAAGGTTTGATCTCAACGCTGACAAACACAACAGACATATTTCTTGTCATGATACTGTTTCATATATTTATGTATATTGGAGCGGTCTTCATATAAGTTCTTTTGAGCTTGTTGACCAATCCAGTTCATGAAAATTCTGTCGTTGCTTTTTCATGAAATAAATGAAAAACCATATGGATCCCTGCCCATGTTGGTGTGTTTGGCAACGAACATGCCGACCAAGAAGCCAAAGCGGCTTAAACTCCCAGAAGTTAACTCAGGTAAACATACCCTTATCTAAAAACGAAATAAAAGCCTATCAAATTCAAAACAAAAAATCTTCCTAGGGTGGCAAAAGTAAATACCAAAACTCAAATTCTAAACTAAAATATCTACTAAAACAAACACTCAAAAACAAAAATATTACCATAAATCCAAAAATATTGACCAGAACGATAACCAAATTACAAACAGGTCACACAAAATTAACTTCCCCTCTACATACAAGCAAAAAACACCAAACAGTGAGTGAGTTTAGTTTTACGCCGCACTCAGCAATATTCCAGCTATATGTTGGCGGTCTGTAAATAATGAAGTCTGGACCAGACAATCCAGTGATTAACAGCATGAGCATTGATCTATGCAATTGGGACATGATGACATATGTCAACCAAGTCAGCGTGCCTGACCACCCGATCCCATTGTTTGTCTCTTACGACAAGCATGGGATCAATTCTAACCCAGATCTTCAAACACCAAACAGACAAATTAAAACACTGCAATGAAACAGAAACGCCTGGACACGTCCTACTACACTGCATACACTACCAACAACACAGAATGGTGCTCCAGAGTTCACTGGACAGAAACACCTAACACTCCTAAGCCCACTAAATAACACCCAAACCTTCAAAGCCTTAGGTATATTTCATTTCAAAACCGGCATTTAGGTCACTTATAATCCCACATAACCAACTAGTGCTAACATAAAAAAGATAATACAAAAACAAAACATAAAATCAAACAAAACAAATACCAAGCAAACCATCCCATAGTTGATACCCCTTACACCTTCTGGCAAATTTCCGAACCTAAAATTCAAACAAATTTAACTATGCAACACTAACGCCCCATTCAGGTTGCCACATCTGGCAGGCCTGTGTGCAAAATACACATTATGTTGGAAAGTGCATCTCCAAATCATCATCATCAAGGACAGAGTTGGATGTAACCTTCCGTAACCCAACCCAACTAACCCTAAGGATCAAAAGGTATGTGAAAAATGAGCTAGAGTCGGCAGTATGAACCAAATATCACTATAGTAAGCTGCGTCAACTAATCTGCACTCTGGCAATATATTGTAACAAGATATTTGCCTACCTGTTTTTAGGAGATCTTCTGGAATTCCCAATTTAGAACTGACTTTCTTCATAATGTTGGTCATTTCTTTCCCAGAAAGAAATTTATAAAATTCCATGATAGCAGTTTTATTCTTGCCAACTGTATGAATGTACTTTTGACACCTTTCATGAAACCTCAAAGTTTCATCGCTCAATTCCGAATCCATGTCTCCTTCCTCGGAGTCGCCCATTAAAGCCTGTAAAAACCCTTCATGGTAAGCATTTCCACTTTCCTGAGTTCTCTGTTTGCTTGACACAAGAAATCTAAAATTTTCCATATCTTCATCTACAAATAACGATCTTAATCGTCTTGCAGTTCTGTGACCAAGATGAATCTGTTCCTCTTCCCCTAAAGCCATTAACATTTTTTCATTATTTTGAGGAAAAGAATTCTTCCACTCTTTCAGTGGTTGAAATTTGTCAGAAGTCAATTTATCATAAATGTCCTTGTGAATCTTCGATATGCTCTGGACATCCTCAAGACCTGGGTACCTAGCACCATGTCGCATGACAGAACTGGAATGTGCAGCCAAGCATGAAAACGTCCCAACTTGAACGGAATTAAACTCGTCTTCGATAACGATTTCAGGTGGCGGATGAATGAGCTCGTAAGCAGTTTTAGACCCAAAGTATCTCTGGACATTTGCGGTCCCGGTTGTCAAAGACAGATGTATGGAGATTAAGAGAGAAATCACAAGGAATTTGACATCGCCTGGAAAATTTGACAGTTTCATGGCCGCTGACATCTTGTCAGTTCCGCAGCAAATACTATTTCCGCGATGCTCCACTCTGAAATCATAAACATAAGATTATGTTTGGTTTGGGTTTTTTATGCATTAGGCTCAGTTATAATCTATTTGTGAAAGTGAACAATTATGGAATTTGGCCCCTGGAATTTTGTTAGCAAACATTTTACGAGCGAGGTGAAATTATTACATGGAACGTCACGCAACTGCACGTTTTGCACGGGAAGTGCACCTCATCACAAGTACCGAGAATAGGCAATAAGAACAATGAGTGGTGACGGAAAGCAGATCCAAACTTCAATCCACGTAAGTATACATGGTTCGGTTCCTAATTGCAAGTGTCGACGAACGTAATTTAAATGCAGCATTTTGGATCCACCCAATAGTCAACCAATGTTTGGTAACGCATGGATGCCTGCAATCGTACCAGGACGATAGGCATCGTTGTTTGCGGTATCAATCACTGTATTGTTTGGTCTAGACTCGATAATTTACCGCTGTCAAATCTGGAGCCCTGGAATGTTGTTGTGCAGTGTTAAATAAGAAATAAACAAGGCTTCAAATTAACGTGAAAGTTCTGTTCTTTGGGTGTGTCAACTTCATGATTTCAGATATCTGAAGAAGACTCAACACTTATTCTCACTTACCCTATGATTGAACAGTTAAGATAACATTGCAGATATATCAAGGGAACTGTTGGTGTCACCCCATTAGTCATACGTCTTAAATAAACACATGTTGATTGCTCTTACATATGAACCCTTAGTACCTCTGTAGGTGAATGGAATGACCCATATGAAATGAAATAAAAAGAATTTAGCAAGAGTTTACATATTCTTATAACAAGTATAAATATATAAAGCATTTCTTCAGTTCTTCTGTCACATGTATAACACATTTCTTCAGTACATTGGTCACATACTCTTTGACATATAATTTCATTAGTGTATTTATTTTTATGACAAGTATGTAGTATTCCAAGAAATTATTAGGAAAGTTGTTTTGGCAAATAAGTTTGTCGGAAATCGTGTGACAGCGTATCTCAATATTCGACCACTTCTTTCTTCCATAGAGTATTTCCTTAAATCTGCATAATAGTTAATTCGATTCAGAAATGGAATTATATTCTTACCCCGCTTTTCTAAGAACATATTCAAAACAATCTGTATGCAGAGTAGACTATTGAATTATGTTTGACTATCACCTTATATCTCGCACAACAAAAGCAGACGAAGTCTATTGTATTGGAACATGACTCTTGTTGTTAATTAATCCGGTCCATTCCGTATGACTAGTGGCCATATGAGAAATGGGCGTATGACTAATTGGATACAACCAAACTGTTAATCAGGAATTTATTCCCTGTTCATACTAGAAAACATGGTATTTCATAGGCAGAATTAAAAAGTAAAAGTGGCTTTTATAAAACTGGGTCCCTACACAATGATACAAACGAACCCCCATACCAGGAACATCTGTGATCTGGTTTAGGCCATCTTTATATACCCCAAGCAACAAATTCTTTGATTCCCATCTCCAAAGTGGCTTTGGCCGATTTTGAAAATGCAATCTTGACAGTACTTTCATTTTAGATATTTGCATTCTGCAGCTATGGATGCAAATGTAAATTCTTGAGTGATACATTGAGTAAATGTTCACATTTGTTTTTACATTTATATGTCCATAAATGAAAAAAACAACCATGTTTAAGTTCTTGCAAATATATACCTGAACAAAAATAAATTCACATGACTGCTTATTCACACACAATCACAGATTAACTGCAGGTAACAGTATCCTGGTGTCAGGGGTTTTCGACGATGTAAGACAAAAACGTGACTTTTTATCTTTAAAATCATTTAAAGTTTTTTTCACTAACTGTGAGTGTTAAAGGATATATTCGTTCATTTCACACAAAAATATCAAGTGTTTGATGACATCGTATCGGCGAAACTGTTGCCACTCTCCACATCCGGGGATTTTGTATGGGTTTTCGACTATGAGCCATATTTTTCACTCCGCATTTCAAGGGAGTGTTGTGATCACATGGCTTCCTATTTATATGTTGCCTGTCACTAGCAGACAACTGAATTTTAGCTTGCTATTTTTTGTTATAAATGCAACTGATGTTGCATCTGATGTGGTATTAACAATCTCAGGTAAATAATATTTGTTTGCTTTTTATATAAGTTAACTTCCAGATTTCTATTGTCAGTAAAACTTCTCACGACAGCGACTGGGCATCCATCCTATTGATGAAACTGCTTGTGCACTCCAATTGTGCACGTACTCCCCTGATATAGCACGAGCAATGCAATCGTCGAAATCACCAGATTGTCGAATTCATCTCGTTTTGGGATATGAAATCAGTGAAGTTGTTCAGCACAATATTGCAATCCAAATCCCATCCATTCTGTTATTAGCCAGTTAATAAACAGTTGGCCGCTACTGTGGTCTTATATATCTCTGGGTTTTTCAGAACATAGTCAGTGTTCATTCTAGGCCATGCCCTTGTGCCATTCACGCATTAATATTTAACATGGCGCACTGTACAGGTATGGGCGGGTCGTGTCGGCGCATCCATAAATGTAAATCTGAAACGCATCACAAGTTTGTTTTCTCTTGGCAACTCAAGCAAAACTCAAGTACTTCTTCCGTGTATCTTGTTGACCTCACCTGGATTAAAAGTTTAACAAAGGAAGTGAACCCATGCTAGTAACTAGTAGTGTATGGCTAAAAAGTCACAGCAATTTGACATGACCCACAATATTTTCTAAATGACCCATATAACCGAGTGCTGGTGGGCCATGGGTTCACTTTTTAGAAATGTTTGAATGAACAGAGCATATTATCACAAAAAGTGACCTTTATTGTTAATGCTTTCTTTAGCCAGTCAAATGCTTTGGAAGAAGTAGCAGTTCAGTATTAAACATTTCTGTGGAATTCAGAAAGTACATTTCAGATACACTGGAATCATGTTTATCTGCACCCCCTGATATCCAGACGATATTTGTGTGCTGACCAGACAGTATTTGTGTGGAATGAAATATATATACCACATAATATCATTGTTTTTTTAGACAGCCAGTTTCTGGATCCAGACAGTGAATTTCAATTACCAAGAATGCAAAAAAATACACTATTGTGTCTCACTTAACAGACATACTTTGATTAAAAAAGTCATATTAGTTTTATATAGAACACACTTTATGGATAACAACTTCTTTTTATTCGTGAGTGCGACGCTTCGATACAGATTCTTGTACCGTTGTCATGCGCGCCATAAAGTGTGTTCTATATTGTACTTCCCAACTTCTAAAATGCCACTCAAAGAAGTTATCCGTCGTCAATATTTGTTTTAGTTGGACATTAATATGCAATGTAAAGTTTTCATGATCAAAATTGGAATGTACAAGATAGCACACATGTAGCCTGGTAATGGCCGTTCCCTATATTAGTGTTGGTTATCGCTCACAATATGCAGATTGATAATCAGAGATAAGTAATTGATTGTAGTTGTAAACCCCAACACTAAACTCACATGGGCGGGACACAGTGATAACATTGTGTAAAGTAAACAGTCGCTGATTAATACCACAATCAAGTTGATCAACGATACTTGACGAGTTTGTCGTTTACATTGCAGGTTTACGAGTCAGGAAGTTGCATCAGTTGTTTATGTGTTGATTTAACAAACTTGACAATAAGAAACATACTTTCTAAAGTTTAATTTGATGGTTCTATTATTATGAATAACCAGTTAACCACTGTAGCCTTAACCTTCACTGGTAAAGTTCAAGCTGGTGCATGGACAGTATATCTTTCTCTTAAACGATGATATGTCATGTGTTATGTCCTAAAATATTTGTTCCATGTTTCCATGATACATCAGGGATTACAATGACTGCTTATACTGCAATAACGAATCACCACATGGCTGTTTTTTGGACGTTTTGCAATCAGTAATTTAAGTCATGCATTAAATGTCTGAATATCACACTTTTAAAGCTAGAGTATATTTTCTTTGTATCCGTACAGTACTCAAATTTCTTTCATACTATGTCTGATTAGGCTATATGCAGGCAATTCAATATAGCGGGTAGCTGATGCAGTACACGAAATGTGATGGTCTTGTATGCAGCGTGTGAATTTCGTCAGCCCGTACATATTGGGATTTTTGACAACACAAATATGTCGCAGTATATAACTGAGAGAAGTGAGAAACAATATTCAATTGATTGTAAAATAAACAGTCACGGAAGAATTATGTCAATCATTGCCGACTATCATAATACAATGTTTAAATATGATGTAAAATAAGGGTGGTAATAACTGAAATGTCTGTTTTTTGGTATCTGTAAGGGTGTATGGTGCATGATGTACTATAATGATTGTATGGATGAATGGTGGATATATTTTGTGAACTTCTACGACGACAGGTGTGCGAGTTGCATGTGTGAAATTGAAATTTCACTACACACGCTTGATTACCTGGCTGTTCTACCAGCATGTCCTCATGGATTCAGTGGAAAGGGGAAACACTATGACCAAGGATCTTATTTTAAAGGATTTGAAGCATAAATAATTTTTGTCAAATTAATGACTTGAAACAATAAATAGGCATAATTTCTGGTTTACAGTTTCTACAATTGTGGTTATTATTGAATTACAAAAGTCCTCTGAAACTATCATATATTGTAATTTTATGAAGAGAGATTATCTTGGAATTGGTGTTAGGATTTTATTGATTGATCGACATTCTAGAAGTTGGTTGGTCAATAATAAAGCACACAACTTTATTGATAATAACTTCTTGTTTATTGCTTAAAGTGATGTTTTGGCATAGGTTCTTACACTGTCTTCAAGCGACTACAACCAAGTGTTGAGAAGTATGTACAGTGCACCTTGGTTGTAATGCCACCCTGGATATAGCGCGATGGTTTTGCCAGAACATATTTCCTGCCTATATAATACCATGGTTATAGTGCCAAACTGGATATAATGCCATTTGCCAAGGGGTTTTATGACAAAAAGTA